TGCCCTTCGCCTCCTTTTGCCGCGGGACCTGCGCCTCCCAGCAGGCAGCGGCGCCTCGCCGCAACTACACCTTCCGGCGTGCCCCGCGCCGCCTCGTGCGGGGGGAGGGAGTGGGGGGGTGGGGTGAGGCAGCCGTTGGAGGGCGCGAGGCCGAGGCGGGAAGTGGCCGGTTCCCGGCCCTTGGGTCAGCCCGTCAGCCGCCTTCCTGATTCCCCTGAGGAGATGGAGCCAGCGGCTCCCTTCCTCCCCCGGGCAGGGCTGGGGCTGTCGTCCGGGGAGGGTGGCTTCTGTGGGGGTGACGAAGAGAAGGGCTTGTGGGAGAGGGCTAGGCCCCTGCGGCAGGGACCGGGGGAGGGGAAGCTCAAGGGAAGTGGAACTTGCAAACCCTCCCCAGTGAGGTTAAGAAGCTTCAGCTCGAGTGGAAAAAGGGGAAGTTGCGAGAGGGAGCGGGGTGGTGGCGGGGAGAGTGTGCGGTGAGAAGTGTGTACTTCGTGGTATCTGGATAAGCTTGGGGTGTGGTGAAGTAAAGGTGCAAGAGGAGGTTGGCCAGAAGCTCGTGATGGCCTAAACAAGAATTGCACAAACAGAATATAGATAAGCAATTTTTTACATGTTGGTGGGTTGGGGTTTTTTTTGCATTTATGCTGTAGTTTTATGATTACTTTAAATCCACTGAGCTGACAGAAAAAAATAATTCTGCCCGTTTCATGCTATGGGGTGGGTTAGATCAGGGGACCTGAAACCAGCCTTGTAAGAAGGTTAGTCTCATCTGAGAAGAGCTCTCTGGTCTGGTTCACCATATGGCCATGCAAACCTTTGGGTTGGCGCTTCGGCAGGAACCAGAGCAGGGGTGGGCATAAGCAAGCCGGGGAGAGTGGGACTGCGGTTTTCACCAGCAGTCTTAGTTCATACCTGCCGTAACTGCGTATTTGTCTAGTGAACTCAGATTCAGCTTTGAAGCTTTATATTAGAAACATCTGGAGGCTGCAACAAGTGCAGTCTGTTGCACTGGGTGCTGCTTTTGCACAGACGCTTATAAAGGTTGTATGGTGGAAAAAAGCAGGCAACTGGGAGCATGTAGATGGAAGGACGTTTCTTTTGTGACAGTAAATCTCTTTGCACAGTCTGTCTGGGGCTATTGCAAAGGCAAGCCGTGGAAAACTCTTAATCTTTATATGTTGCATATAAAGGAAACAAGTTAAAATGATAACTGTTTCTTCTTTTTTTCTCTTCTTCATGCTGAAAAAAAACAGTGGCCAAGAGCAAATCTAAGTAAGTGATGTTTTCCTCACCAATTTTTAATTTCTGCTACCACTCTGTATCTTCAAGTGACTGTACAAAATACTAGGCTTCTCTAGAATTTTTTAATATACCTGAGAGAACTGCAGTCCTTGAGTTTAGCTGTGTCCTTTCTGTCCTTCTGCATGTGTGTCTTTTCACAGGTAAGTACAGAATGGTGTGAAAAATCCCCTCGGTTCTAAAATTGCAGTGAATGCAGGTGTTGTCCTATGGGCTGTCATGTTGAGCTCAGCTGTAATATCCAAAGCGCCCTCCATAGGGGAAGCACGCCTCTGTGCTTTATGATTAAAGAGAGGCTATAAATTATCCACATAATCTTCCTCTTGTTTACCTTTCATACTTTTTTAGCTGAGGAGGGCAAGCTGAGGTACAGCGTTGAGTCTTTGTTGTTTGTGGGTTGGGCTTTGGGCAGGTGCTGTGAATGTTTCTCATGGGCAGGGTGCAGAACGCTTCCCAGTTTTAGCATGTTCATATGTTTATACATGAGGAGTGGATGGGGCACAGTCAGTGCTCCGGGCTTCTTGATTTGCTCTGTAGTCCAGCTCAGGAGAGATGTTAGTGGGCTCTGGAAGAAAATTAGTCCCAGTCCTTTGACCTGTAAAGACGGCTGATGTGTTTTAAAGGTTGGAAAGGAAGGAATATATACTTTCAGCACACCAGGAGTCTTACAGTGTGGATGCAAGGAGACAAGATCATGGGGAGAGAATGACTTGCAGCCAAAATGCTATTTGTAAGAAAATCAGCTAGACAAATCCAAGGGGCTAAACTGATACATTTATGTGAATACATTCCTGTCTTCTGATTCTCAGAAATTGCATTTTGTGCAAGTGTATTACATTTGGTACTGTACAACCTCGGAAACTATGGCCTTTGGTACGTTTTCTGATTTTTATTTTTTTTTAAGAATCAACCCCCAACAGAGCCAGTAGCAACCACTTTCTGGGTTTGAAAAGATTCTTCTGTTACAGGATTTCTGAGTAATTGTCAGGGTTTGAAATGAAGAAAGTGCTTCCCAAATATGTACCTGACAGGGAAGAGAGCAGGTTGACATCTCAGTGTTCTGCTGTTACCTGTTAGCAGAAACAAACACAGCAACGCAGGATGTTTCCATGAGGTGAAAAAGTAGCTTTTAAAAGTGGTGTTACTAATGTTAATGTAGTGATTCCCCCCCCCCCGCCCCGATGTTCCTTTCTCTGTTGTTTTTATGGTCCCATGTATACTTCAGGAATATGTTATCTCCTTGTATTATTTATCCTTCTGCGTTCCCCTTGGGTTTTCTCCCTGTGTCCTGATAGCTTTCCACTGTTCTTTTCTGCCTCTGCTCCTAGTTACGTTTCTTCATTGAGCAGCAAGTTTTTTGAACAAGGTGTGTTATTCAGAAAGGGCTTGGCCTCAAATATGTGGTGCACAAGAATTTCAAGGCCTGGTCATACTGATACCACTGATTCCCCCAGAAAGAGGAAACTGCACAGAGGATTTGAGGAAGTGGGTGAGGTATAGGGGAAGGAGTCTGTGTGGTTACTGGTGATACACATCACACCTGCAGTCATGTACAGGAGAGGACAGTAACTGGGGGTAATCCCTAGACTATGCTTGGTCAGTTGGTCTGCAGGAATCTAGTGTTTTTCTGTTTATTTTGAACTCAGAAAAGTAAATTTCATTGCAAAGCTGAAAAGGGAGAGCTCAAGGAAGTACACTGGTCAGAGCTGCACAAGTGAGGAAGAATGGACACCTCTTCAAGGTTAATTTTGACAGACCACTTGGTATTAGAAGCAGGAAAATCCAGAAAAATTAATTGAATGCCCATGTGCAGAGATGTATGCATCTCTTTATTGCAATGGAAGAGAAGGACATAATTTACAGACTGGTTAAAGGGTTTGACCTTTCTTTTGACACTTCAGAAGATGCCCTGTGTCTGGGAGGTTGCGCAGATCTCAGTGTACTTCTGGGGGGCGGGGGGTGTGGTGGTGGTGGCTTTCTCAGTCTCCTGGCTTTCCCTGCTCCCAGGGATACCACAGCTACCGCAGCCAGTCCACTCCACAAACCGAGAGCCTTCCAGTGGGGAAGGGGGTTCCCATGGCTGGGTTAATGTCAAGCCCTGTATCTCTAGTGGGATGGATGGTGCCAAGGGGCCCTGCTTCTCCTTTTGCATGCCTCTTGTTCCATCCTATCTGCTCGAGTTCCTCTCTGCATGTGGAAGTGATAGTCTGCAGTACATTGTTATCTACAGCCTGAACATCTTTAACTACCATCATCCTTCCTCTCTTGCCATTACCTTTTAAATAGTGACTCAAGTGTATGCTGATTTTTTTTTTTTTTTTAACACCTCCCCCCCCCTTTCTTTCTTTCCTGTTTCTTTTCCTCTGGGCTTGTATTCTGTTCAGGAGTTATTTACTTAAACTTGATGCTGGAGCTTATGGTTTATAGTGGGCTCCTTGTCTGTGTTATAAGTTTAGCACACAGTGTTGATGCTCCCATCCAAAATATCCATAAAGTTGAATGAAGTATCTTATGCGATTGTGCCAAATTGCTCATGCTAAAAGCTTGTCCGTTTGACCATGCCCTGGCAGACCTGTGGTGGGCCATTGCTGTGTGCCTGTGCACTGATACAGAGACATTCCTTGTGACTTTAGATACATTCTGGTGAGGATGAAAAGTGCAGCTGAGACAGGCTACTGTTTCAACATCAGGAGACTCCGACTGCAAGAAAAATTGGTCCTGCTGAGATACGATCCCATCGGTAAGAGCTTGGGGAAGAAATCAGCCTGCTTTGTATAAGCTTCTCTGTGTGGGGCAAAAGATTTGAATATAACAGGATTTTTCCCATCTAAGCAGAATATGTCATAATATGTTTCATACTCAGATGACTGTACAGTTGCTGTTCTTCATGACATTCCAGTGGGAAGTAAACGTTTCCCTCATTTTACAGACTGTGGCAGTGAAACAAAGTAATGACTTGCCTGACATATCAGAGTCTTTGATGACAGCCATGCCACATGTCAGTGGCAAAGCAAAGTGACACAGGAGTTCTTTCATTCTGTTTCTTTGTGTGGTTTGCTAGACTGCGCTACCTCCAACAAGCAGCCACGAAGAATGCATCAATAGAAATGTTCTGTTAAGCTGCCATTGGTGCTCTAGACAATACATTTTAACCATCACTTACAAAATGGACTTTTTCTTTTAAAGAAATAAAACCAAGTTCTTCTTCTCCCACAAATGATACTGCTCTCCAGATGACAGTTTGTGGGTTCTTTTATGTTCCTCTGGTCCTTGCAGATTTTCTCAGTTTAAGAATGTGATATGTTGGGGGGTTATAGCACTTGCCAAGCTGCCTTTTGCTTACCAAGCTTTTTGAACGGTGACTAGGAGCTCAGGTTTCTGGGGGAGGAACCAGTCTGCAGTTAACATTAAAAAGTTTAATTTAACGTTAAAAAGCTTAATTTGGGGAAATTTAGAAATTAAATGAGACCATTTAAATGAGACAATGCTAGAAATAGCATGGCAGAGTTAGTGCAAAAAAGGCTTATTTAAATCTATAGAATAAAGAAATGTATTAAGCAGCTCTAAGTAGATAACATAATGCATGGCCAGTAGTTATGTGGTTTAAGCTTATTTTTTCTTATAATTTTATGTTCTTGTTAGATGACTAACCTTTTCATACTCAGATCTAACAGTCCAGGAGCTTTATGGCAGGTGAGAGAAACCACCAGAGAAGCGGTATGCTCTCATCAAAGAGATGAGATGTTGCTGACAGAGGTTGTGTCTCTCCTTCTGAATTCCATACAGAAGGAGAATTGGAGATCGCTAGGATTATTTTCTTGAGTAAGAAAAGTTTACATTACTGCATCGAACCATTGTGCAAAGTGATCCTCCAGAAGCTTCACAACTTGTAGGAAATGTGAAGAGAGTGGAGAGCTTAGTCTAAGTAGCGCTTCTGTTGCAGAACATGTAGTAGGTTGTTGAAGTACAAAATTGGAAGTAATTAAGAAAAAAACTCTGATCTTTGTAGCCTGTAGTAGAACACAAGTGAGAAATTGATGTGAGAAAGTGCTGCATGTGTGAAGGGAAGTAAATTTGAGTCTAGATACCAACTCACATCAGGAATATGTTAGGAAGCATTTTCACTTGGCATGCATTTTCACCTTATGTTTTGTACTTCTCAAAAACCTGGGACCTCCACAGAATGAAGCTTTTTAGTGAAGTAGTGGCAGTAGTGCCCAAGTTTCACTACCTCCTAACTGCAGCAACAGAATGTGTTACGAAGTTGCAGTATTTCTTAAAGTGAAACTTTTATGTGGAAGAAGAGATTTTGTTAAGTGTGTGGATTGCTCTTGCGTAGCTTTCAAAGGAATTCATATAGTGAAGTTCAATTGGAACAATGGTGCTTTTCAAAGGGCATTGTAAAGCTTTGAGTATTTTTTTTTTTTTTTTCAGTAACGCATTGGCTATGCTTAACCTATAGCTGAACTGACTTTGCTAGCACCTGCATCAGGCCTTGGATGCAGGGTTAATTTGTGTCTCATTGAGAGATCTGCAGGAGACTTAGTTAACTTTTTCAGTCAGTCTGTGAGACCAAGTAGATCCAGTTGTTTGGGCTCTGAATTTGAAGAGTAGTAGAAAGCAGTAAGAACCTATTTTTGTCACTACATTGAGCAGCTGTGACTCAGAACAGTCACACAGAGCAGCTGTTGAATGTTTTCAGCCACTCAGATCCTGACACTTACTTTCACAGAGGTAAACGGGCCTCTTAGGAGCTAAAAATTACGTATGGTAAAGTGAAAGCGCTACTAAACTCCTTCAAGAGTTGATTAACAGCAGCGCTGTGCCAGTCAGTTGCTCCACACTCATGTAAGCAGCGAAGGTAGCCAGGAGAAAGGGATGTAGGCTCCTTGAATTGCATCTTAACACTTTGGGCTTCTTAACAGATCCTTTTTTTCCCTATAGCAAAACAACGTGTCCTCTTCACGGAGAAGAGAAAAATCCGCTCTATCTGAACAATGACTGGACTTGATTTATGCATTAGGAGAGGATGGTTTGGGGGGAGGATGGGGTGAACGCTGATTCAGAAATCAAGCAACATGGGCTGCAAAGAGAGGAAATGAACTGGGATCACCGTCTCCTGTGATTTGAAGGCCATTGTGAATAAAACAATGTAGAGAGAGAAAATTCTTAATGTCTGGACATAGATCATCACAGTAACATTTATTTATCTTTTGAGTTATTTTTACAGTACTCAATTAAAAAAATTAAATAGCAAATCCCATTGTCTGTGTTTTCCATTGTGAAAGAGGCTGTAATCTTCAAAGGAACTATTGTTTTATAAGGCAATAAAAATTAACATTTTCCACAGCAGGAATTCAATGGCAGGATTGCAAGTTTTTCTAACCTACCAGCCACAGATTCAACAGTAGTGACCATGAATTGGTGTCATTCCTTGGAGGGGTAGTGTTGTACCAGCTCCTTCCCAGGAAAGGAAGAAGCAAGGGGAACCTAGTGAAATAAGATGAGCTTTTGGATAAGCTATGACCATGGCTAAAAGGGCTGAATTATTTTCAGTAGGATGGATTTTTCACTCCTGGATTTTTGTCAAGCATGGAGAAAGTAGATAGCCAAAGTAGTTCTCTGATGGTTTTGGAAGTTTTTCATCTTTAATTAGCTCATCTAGGTTTAGAGCAGTATGGCTAGAAACACTTTTCAAAGTCTACCTCAGTAGCACTCTTGTCCTCTTTCCAGTTCGAGGGACCTTCCACAGAGCACAGTGCTGCAGCATGCAAGAATAGATGGGCCAGGGCTCAATGTATGGTGCTTTGTTATGAGCCAAACGCTGGCCTTGGTGTTTGCAGCCGAGGCCTGAAGTTGCAATCTCAAAGCTAACACTCAGCTTCATGTGCTGGCATTGCACATAAGAAGTTCTGATAAAAAAATACTACCAGGAGACCAATACCCTCCAGATGTTTTGCTGTAAACTTCATGTAGTTCAGTATAGTGCATTGTGCGGGATGGCCACAAGCCCAATGGTTGTGTGAGGGGCCGGAGAGACCTGCTGTGCTGTGTTTGAAAGACCCCCCACCCCATCTTATCATTGTAGAACAGGAACTAAGAGGATTCCTCAAATAAGAAGCAAAGATACTTCTCTGGTCTTTCCAGTCAGCAGAGGAGAACCTTTGTGCAGTCAGGTGATTAATGGTGTCTGGGGTAAGATAAAATCAGTATGTTGAGCTAGACAATGTCAATTAGAAAAGGTCCTGAGGCAAGTCCTTCCGGTAAGGATATGAAGATTGTGTCCCTGATGCCTGGACGCTCACTGATGCAATGCAGTTAGACTTCCTGATCATTTCCTCCATGGGTAACTTGGGATAGTAAGCCAGGTAGAAGGCCAGTGCTCCCACAAAACTGTCTCCAGCTCCCTAGAATAAAATAACAAGTTCAAGCATACTTGCACAGGGAAACAATTCAGATGCGTTTACTGGAAAGACAAAAGTTGCAGCACTGATTGCAGGAGTCAGGAAGTTGTTCGGGAGTTGAGTTCAATTCACTTTTCTATGCCTAGAAAATTCTGCCATGTTAAACTAATGCTACCATACTATCTTTCTGCCCAGCTGTTGAATCAAGGTACAAGCTATAATATGGCTTAAAACTTCAAGAAAAAGAAAAGCTAGTGTGCTACAGTTCAGCAGTGTGCTGTTATAAATACTGTTTTTGAAACTTCCTGTTGCTGGAGTGTCTGATTTTGATTTCTCAACCTGAATGTTTCATTAAAGCTATTTTTCTCTCATTTAACTTCTGTTTTTCATATAGGGCAGTAGTGGAAGGGACAGAGAAAAGGGGAAAAAATAAGCCATGCGGCATGTGGTGTCTGTAAATTCCTAGTTGCAGAACGATACATTTTGATGTCTCCAGAACTGAGCTGTTCTAAAAGAGTCCCACTAATGAAGGTGTATGCTGTGTCTGTCACATAAACCACTCGTATTCCTGGGGTAAGCTTTGCCACTTGAGCTGTGTCTGACCATGGGGATGGAGGACAGTGACATTCACCTGGAGCTCTGGCAACTGTGGCCCTCCTGAGCTAGCTGTCCCCAGGCCCTGTCTCCCACAAGAGCTGCCCGATGCTCAGCCGGCCCTGTGCCAGCCCTCTGTGAATGGGGAGTAAGCCTTCACCTTGTGCCCCGGCTTGCTCTGACCCTGTAGCCCAGATGCCACTAGTTCTGCTCTGATCAGCAGGGAATGACAATTGTTTGCCTCCTGAATGCTTTTTAACAATAACTCTTGTTTTGCGATGTTCAGTGCTCTGTAGTGTCCCCAACAACTGGCAAAATTAATCATTTTTAACTTGATTTGCTCATTTCATTCCACAGCGTCTCTTCCCCCTCCTCTAAAACTGGCTTGATTTCTAAGGCCAAACTGACAGCAATTCTTGTTAGTACCGTAAAAGTGATTCTAACATCCCCTTTTTTTAATCATACTTTTATACCACTAAAAGAGTTACACTGGACACACTGGTAATATCTTCATTTAATTCAAGAACTAGCATATAGACTGTCTCCCCTGAGGGGGTTTTGCCTCTGTAGTTGCAATAAATAGGCCCCAAGAGTCATGGGACAAGAGCAAAGGGCCTGGAAAAAGTTAGTTAAGATAGCTGAGCAAAGTTTCTAACTGGAAGTTAAGACTAGGAATTAATTTCCAATTTTGAGTTCTAGTGGTTCTCAGTGTTACACTCCTACTTACCCTAAAATCAGCTGCATATAAATAATATCATTCTGGCAAAAAATACCACTTCCACAGAGATCAGTTTGTAACATTACAAGCAGATGACAGGGCAGAGCAGCGTGGCAATTGCAAGGGAACCCTAAAGGGGGTGAGCGCGCCATGCCTTGTCTCTCCCTGCCCAGCCCTTCCACAGCAGCTGTTTGCATTGGTGTTCCCAGTCAGGAAACTTCCTACTTAACTCTTGCTTCACCTGAAGCTTGGATGCTGTCTTCCATCGCCTTCACAGCGGGGTACAATGGAGAGTGTTGCCTGGCAAATTACAAGTTAATAAGCAAAGTCTTACCCAGCGTGCAGCAACACCTGTTTCAACAGTTCTGTATTCCTGAACACAGGAGGGGCAGGTGAAGGTTTTTATCAATTTCTGTTGGGCCTTTGCCTCTCTTCTGGTTTCCAGAGTGCTCCCACAATGGTAGGTGGAGCAGGAGCAGGTGACTGCTAGTTAAGCATTGCCAGCGTCTTTTGTCTGATGCATAATACAAAAATCTCCAGCCCATCTCAGAGTTTATAATCTAATCGGTGCATGATTAATTATTAAAGCTATTTTGGTGCTGCTGTTACAGACAGAATTTCAGCAAGCAGATGTTATGCTGTAGCAGGAATAACTTCTCATTTTTACATCAAATATTTCTCATACAGTGATCACTGGGTAATGGAAGTGGCCAAATATTATTTTAATGAGGAATACTCAGAATATCTGGTGTCAAACAGCATAAACTATTACCTGGCAGCAATGTGGAGCAGAATACTGTCTTTTTAATCATTTTTTTTAAATGGAGGTAACTAACTACTGCCCCAAAGAATTGCTGCACTGTTTGCTATTGGAGCAAAAAAAGACTAATGGCACATCACCCAGGTCTTAGTTTGGATGGTGGTGAGATGGAACGTAAGTTCTCCCTGCAACATTACTGTGCCTCTCCACTTGTGGGTGATGCTCGGAGGTTTTGAGATGGCTGTAAATCTCCCTTTTGGCAAGGCTGAACTATGTTAAATGACTACAAAGGTGGAAAAGGGGGTGAACAGCAGACTTCCATGCAGAATGCAAAAAGGCCCCCTAGTATCTTTTTGCAAGAGAAAAGATTATGGGATGATTGGAGAATATACAGAAGGATTTGATACCAGTAAGCGTTTGCTGAAATCCTTACCTCCCATACATAGACTGAAGCAGTCAGCATCTCTAAAGCTCAGCTACTACAGACTCCAAGGTTATCATAAATTCAGTTGTTGGTAAGTAAGCGTTTCGTGTAGGGGTGTTTTCAATATAGGAGCTACTACACTGAAAACAGTGGCATGTATCATTAGAATGATTATGTAGATAACCCTGTTCAACCTCGCTTCTGGTCTGTGCAGACAAGACTGGTCAAACACAACTTAAAGAGCAATAGCAGAACTGATTCAGCTGCAAAGTTAGCTGCAATAAGAGCTATTTTCAGCCTACAGAAACAGACCTTCCCTCTTTGGTATTGTGGATTAAGGTATATTGGGTTTGGTAGATTCAGAAAAGGTCAGCACAGAGCAGAAGGAACAGGCTCAGAATAAAATCAGGATTATCCAAACTCTGGATTAGCAAATACTAGCTTTACATTTAGCTGTTTCAAAACCTGCTATAAGAAAAAACCCAAACAACCTACTTTTTGCAAAAATAATGAAATTTTTAAAATGACCAGTAAGGCGCATTTATTCTGCCCACTGACAAAATATAAACACAGAATATGTAATATTTTACATTCCTCAGCATTTGTCTTCCAGAAATCCTAATACATTGCAGACTTTGAGACAATCCTCATATCCTTGAGTGCCTAGAGACAATTAATTCCATAATTATAAAAATATAACTTGTTTAACCTTTCTCTAACGCAGAAATGCTAGTTTGTATGAAATAAAATAAAGAATTGGATCAAAAAAATTGTCTGATATGGTGTGGCTAGTTCTAAAATGCAAGTGTTACAGTTTTGTCTAAGTTGTATGGTTTTGAAGCAGTTTTGAAAACCTATTTATATTCTGTGCCACTAGTCTGGAAGGTCCTTGTTTTCCTGTATGTCTGGAAAAGGGCAATTTTGTTCATTACAGTCCAGCACTGATTGAGATTCTGTGCCTCTAGAGAAGAGAAAACCCACAAAAACACTTCTATTTATACCTTAGCTTTTGTTAGTCCTGATTTGTTAAAAGCTGGTTCAGAAATTTAGTGTAGATATTTTTATACGATGCTGCCCTGAGAAGCTTTTTAAGGAAAGTGCTTTGTAAGTGGAAACTATATTGTTCAACAGTCTTTCCAGCAAGTAAAGCATTTTTCAATCAATCATGTGTAGAATAATAGGATGCATTTCACTTATACAGTAAGATGACTTGTTCACCAAAAAAATTTGGAGGCCAAAAGCTACAGCTCACAGTGTTGCAGCAGTTGCACTGCCATGTTCCAGGGCAACCTCTTACTCAGCCTTCACACTCCCAGCCTGTCCTCTTGGGCAAGAGTAATGGCAACCATGTAAGAATAGGAGGGGGCTCTGGCTCTTGAAGCCTGACATTGTTACTGAACCAAAGAAAACTTTCCTCAGGTGATTTTTCAAGAAGTCACAGTCCATGTACGCCCTGCGTATTACATGGATTCATTCCATTAAATACATTGTAAGACCATGTTACCAAGTCCTAAAAGGAATGATGTGTTGTATAAGAGAAACATTAGGCACGCCTGTAATGATAAATTCTTCATTTAGTGAATAAATCAAAACATCAATCCAAAAGCTGTCAAAAACTGCATTATAATGTAGATTCAGCAACATTGCTTGCAATGATGTTTATAGTCTCTGAGGAGCATTCACAGCAGTGCACAAATGAACGAAGCCTGAGGATTACACTGATTTAGTGCAGTCTAAATGCATGGCAATGCAGAGATGCCCAACTCTGTCGAAGGAATTGGGCCCTGGAGAATTCCTGTTGTATTTATAGCACTCCATAACCGTGTGATACTGGATTATGCTAAGGATGTTACTGCTCTGTGTCACATCTGCTCAGCATTCCTTGCTGTACCTCTGCCTACTCTGTACCCAAACTACAAATTAGCCTCATGTAACACAAAAATATCTGTCAGTGAAGAGGCTCATTATCTCTTCTTCATAAGTGGTGAAAGCCTATGCCTCCTTACAAGAATCCCTGGGTTGTGCTTTCATGAAAGGTTACTAGTGGAACTGGAGAAACATTTCCAGCCTTCGGGATATATTCAGACACTCTTGTGCCAAGAGGGTCTATGTCTCAGCTAAAAGATAATTTCAGCTGAAATGCTCAGGGAGCAAAATATCCCTTGGTAACAGTGGTTGAATGAGTTATACAGCTTTTTTTACCCGTCTTTATTTTTATGATTTCCTTCTCCCTGAAAGAGCGCATGTTTATCCTCTATGTGATGGAGAATGGTTTATTTCTGGAAATGTTTCTGACTGTTTTTTTGACATCTGCATTTATTTGCCCGTGCAATACCTTTTTTGGGGGGGTGGGGTGTTAATAATCCCCCCCCCCCCCTTTTCCTTATGTTTCACTAGAGACATATTTTGGCAGTTTGAATTAAGGCAGTCTTTAAATTAAACCAACTCCACTATCTTGAAACTCTCCTGAAATTAAACTAATTTGACTATCTTAAAACTATTTCCTA